TCACTTAAATCGATCAATCTACTCAGGTAGCCATGGACATTGCGCAGACACCGGCGAAGGCTTTGGCAATGCAGGGGTTCATGATGTACATGACAGGGTCAAGCGTCAGTATTATCTCCATCATGGTTGTAGGAATGAGTCTTTTAAATTCAGCTCAGGCATTGGCAGCTGTTAACCAACGTAAGTCTTGAAAAAGATGGAGGTAGCGTGCATGAATGATTGGTGCGTTTCAGCAAAAGATCATAATTTTCCTGAGATCATGGGTATGGCACTTTTCATTCGGTGCATGATCGGCTAAATCTTTGCATCTGGTGCAGCAGGATTAGGGTGCAGGTGTTGTTTTCAAAACACGCCGATGGTAGTAAACTTCACATATTACGATGGTTCGGATGTTCATCACAACATACACAGGATTTGAGAGTGTGGCTGATGGCCATATCAGTTTGATTCTTCCTAAGCTCATTTATGTCGCTCTCAATTGCGTCTTCCTGGGTATGGGTCTTTACAAGTGCAGTTCGCTGGGCTTACTTCCCAGTACTGCAGTAGACTTCATTTCCCGCCTTCCTTCTACAGCATACAGGGCTGAGGTCTCGAGCGTACCTGTCTAAAGGTCGAATAAAAACAATCATACATCTTTGTCCATCATTCTCGGGCGATCGCAAATGTTGGGGTTGGAGGACTTTTTCCTGTTTACACGCATTGGTTATCCCATCGCCCTACGTAAATTTTCAAATCTCATCCTACGTCGCCATGTTCTGCTATGCTTTCCATCTTATTTATTTCAACTCCTAAGCGCGTCGGTCATGTTTTTTTTTGCTGCGGATTTCTGAGACAAAAGTCGATGACTTTGATAAAACAGGCTTCTTCGGTGAGGGAGACATCAAGGGGGCCAAGGATTCAGCAATGCTGCATGAACGCTTCTCTGCTGGCTTTTTGCCTTCCGCGTCTTTCATAGCAAATGGATTCCGCGAGATCCCGGATTCCGCATCACAACGCCCCACAAAAGATGTAGAGGAATTTCCGATGCGCGAGACCTGTGAAGCTCGTGGTCTTGCTGGTGAGAACAAAGGATCTCGATGATCCGCTGACATGTCGGTTCTCTCGGCCCTTTCCGGAAGATTGATGTCGTCATTATTTAAGTCGTGCTCATTAGTCAGCATCGAAGTTCGCGACGACATGGGGCTATCTTTGAAGCCGCGCGGATCTTGGTTCTCAGTCTCCTCATTTGAGAGGTGGATATCGGCGATCGGAGGAAAGCGGGTAGCTACCAAGTCGCTGATACGAGCGGCCACCTGGGGCAACGAGTAATGGTCAGCAATGCGTACGGCGAGAGTCAAGGACTTGGGAAGGGTAAGTGTCTCGGCTAGTTCTAGCATGCGCTCTCCATTTTCAGCCGCACCCGCCTGCTGGATCATTTTTACGAGATGGGCGTCATAAGACGCCTGATTGCGCAATATATCGGCCTCCAGGTCGTGATCCTCCAAGCTTTCGAAGGCCAGGACTTCCTGCTGATACTGCTTCTGACACAAGAATGTTTTGCTCAGAAAGCGTACTTCCTCAAGTTTGAGAAGAGCATGATCGTTGTTGCTCATTACAAAGGGGGGCTTAAAGGGCAGGGATGATACCAAAGGTTTGGGATTGGTTGGGGGATGCTCCTCGCCGCCTCTCAGAAGCGAACACATGAGACTGCCATTAAAGACACCTACGGGCCAAAACGAGTCCATTTTGTTCCTGCGCAGACGACTTGATTCCAGAATAGGCGTCCAATGCCAAGAAAAGCCGCGCACGAGGCTTGACAGTAAACCCTCGGAGTCCATTATATGAAGCATGTCCGAATTGTCGAATCCCGCCCAAATTAACAAGGAGTCTGGGGAGAGGCAGACAGGGCCTTGCGAGACTACAACAGTACGCCGTATATCTAGGAGCTGATAGTGAAGAGACTGCGAAGCCGATCCTGTGCTATGGTTAATGAGAGGAATTCCTCCGTGATAAAACACGGCAAGAAGTTCCCCTTGTCCCACCATGGTGACAACAGGGCCCGGCATGGCCAGGACGCCCTCTTGTAGCCCGCTAAATGTGAAGAGCCGCACCCACTGTCGTGTGGTGGCCACAGCTGTCCAGCGCGCACCAACAGCCACGCAAAGTGCTCCTTCTTTCTTGGGTAGCGTGTAGAGCCATTGATTTTTGGCGGAGTAGTTGGCGAAGGGTCGGAAGAAAACTGTGCTGCGCTCCTCATCCTTGTTCTCCACTTGCTTATCTCCTTTGTCCGGGTTAATTTCATCCAGTGTTGCACTGGCAAAAATTGCCCCCTCCTCGGCCATGGAGCCCATATTGAAGCGGTAGTGGTCCGTAAAGCGGATGGGCCGACGGCTCGCGTCCGCGAACTCGATCTCGATCACATTGTGGTCTCCCAAATTTTGGGAAACAATATTTCCAACAAGATTCCAGACCAAAAAGCGCTTTAGGGCATCCACAGGGCTACTGGATGGTAAGAATGGCCCCTGCAAGTGAGAATATGGCGGTATTGTCTCACGCTCTTCCTTAATGTGGTCATAGTCCAGGACATCAGGCTCGTCGTCAGGAGCTGACTCCTCTTCCTCAAAACCCTCACCGCCTTCATGTGTCGATTCTATGTGCTTGTCTCTATGGAGAGAGAGACTTCTCTTTTCCGGAGTCTCAACGTTTTTATTTGAGGATGCTCTTTCTTTTTCCTCATGCCTTTCCAATTCAGGCGTTTGAGTCCTTCTGCGAGACTCCCCGGGAGCTGCATCTTTCGTGGCAGCGTCTCTCTTCGAGCCCTTCAATTCTGATATCACCTGCACACTTGAAGATAACAAAGTTGATATGGCATCTTCAGGCACATTTTTAATGCCAAAAAAGCCCATGCAGTCCAAAACTGCCAGCTGCCGCATCTCAATCCATTGTAACTGTCGCAACGCTCGAGAACGCGAGGCACCCACTATGCCCTCGTTCACGCTTTCTTTATCCATGTAAATTTGTGCCGGTAATAATGCTGGACCACCACATTGAGGTACCGCCCATATCACAAGGCGTCGGTCTTCGCCAGCTGAAGCCAGTAAATGACCATCGGGGGCCCAAGCAAGGACTGATATCTCGGCTGTGTGAGCAAGCCGCGATGCAGTAGAGTCCACCACTCTCCAGGTCCCGCGCTCTAGCAGCTGTGGGTGTCGAGAGCCGGGTAGAGCTAGAACAGAACCGTCAGGACTCCACGCGGTCTTGGGTATCCCAGGTTGCAGATTGTAGGTGCTGTCTCCCTCGAAAACTTTCTTGCTGAAAATGCAGTGCTTGGTAGCCAATTCCCAGATCAAGACGCAACCATCAGTGCCCAGCGAGACCAGATATTCCTCCTGCAAAAATGTTCAAGAGATGTCACATCAATAAGTCATGTCATGATTACCACAGATGGATGGCGGGAAAAAGAGTGGAGGCCTCTTAAACTTTGCGTGACGGGGGGGGAGAAAGGACTCTGAACGATTTTAGAAGGCTTTGCACACACCTTTGGATCAAAGCACAAGCTGTGAACGCCTCCGTCGTGCTTTCTCAAGGGTGTGGCTTTTCGGCTCTGTACCTCGATCAACCGCAATTCGAGGTCCCCTGAACCCACAGCCGCCCACTTGCTTGTCGGGCTCAAGGCGATATCCCGTACTGCCGAGGTACACCTGACCAAAAAGTCTTCGAAGTGGAACTCTGGTACATCGTTCTCCCAAGAAACCCTATTGAATTCGACCTTGCCTGATTCCATACCGATGGCAAGAGCTGTCTGCTCCCGAGTAAGAGCCAGGCAGATAGGCGTCCCGTCCACCGCCGTGAGTTTCACAGGGCCCTGAGTGGTGGGATCGACAGCCACGGTTCCGGTGCACAGATCTATAATCTGTCACGTCGTTGTCGGTAACGTGAGAGGCATAGGTGAGAGACCATACGCAGGGGAAGATGATGACGAAACATTCTTGTTTGCGCTAGAGACGACATCGTCGAAACTACTCGACAGGTTATGCTTGCGACCAAAAGACTGGCCAAGTACCTCAGAAGAATTTCAAAATTGTACTCTCTGAATCTTATCGTCACACTTTCTCGAGTGACCACTCTAAGCGGTTTTCGATACATCACAATCCTCCGCCTTTTGTGGACAGGGGGATTCGCATTTTGATGAGCAAGCCATGAATTAATCAACACCATGCGTCCAGTTGTGACACGTACCTGTATTTCACCATCTGGGCTACATGCCCACGAAAACTTTTCCATTCCCTCCCTGGGCTTCGCAAAAGACATGCATGAGCCTTCTACTAAAAGTTCTTTGAGCGCCAAGGGTAATAATGGTGCGTCATCTTTGATGAGGGGAATTTCGGCTGCTCCTTTATGTGATTGAGCATTCCGGTCACACGTAGATTCTGCGTCCTCTACTCTTTTTCCCTCCATCCAGTTCAGATTTCTGTAATTTGTTGTGCCATTTATGAGACTAGATAAATAACACACAGCGTTCACAGAAAAGGCGCCATGTTTCTTGGCGGCAACTTCGGCGACTCCGCCGGAGCCTCAGCCATTTCACGCCTGCGTTCCGCGGGCCCCGAAGATGTGAAAACTGTGCGCCGGCGAGCGACTAGGCTTCGTGACTGACATCTAGGGATGCCTTTTTTGAAAAGCTCGTGTCCCCGTCGAGCCTGCTACATGCTTTCACACTAAGGCGAGCACTGTTGGCAGGGAGGGGCACGGGGGGGAGGTCTCAGGATGGAGAGAGCGTGGGCGGCAAGTCTCGGCCTCCCGGCAAAGCCTTCAATCAGGCCGTTCTTTTTATAGTGTTGCTTGGGTTCGCCCTTTGGTATGATGACTTCGATGAATATCCTAAATATGTTCACATCACACTCGTCAATCTGCGCAATTGTTACTTGTGCGTGGTCCACGCTGTCTGAAGTCACCCACCGGCAACCATAAAATTGATCTCTTATTAAGCACACACATCTCATTCAACATTTTCTTTTTGTAGACGCTGTTCTCGAGAATGATGAGGTGGAAGCACTGCTATCATCTGAAATTTTGTGTACTACTTCTGAACATCGTTACACAGAGCAAAGCTGACTACCGCATGTATTCTGGTCGAAAAGCACTTATCAAACCTACCTTCAGACTTCCGAAGATGTGTTCATTCTGCCCGGCAAACTTGAAGGTTTCAAATTTTCGCAGTCTATCTCCGACTACGAGCTGTAAGGAGCGTAAATATTTGGCCAGATACGAGAGAATGTGCACAGTCCGAGGCGCGACCCCCGGTACTACGGCGGAGCTTCCTCCTCTGAACATGAATGGTCTTGTTGCGATTTTTAAACCAAGGAATTGGACTAGTAATGATGTAGTACAAAAAGTTCGTAGTCTTCTAGAGAAAGAAGCTCGGCGTCGTGCTGGAGTTAAAGTGAAAGTAAAAGTGGGTCACGGAGGGACTCTCGATCCCATGGCTACAGGAGTATTGGTTCTGGGTGTAGGTAGAGGCTGTCAAGATCTCAATTTGTATCTGAAGGGATCCAAAGCATATCGAGCTGTCGGGCTGCTTGGTTCTGAATACGACACGATGGATGCGACTGGTACGATAACCGAGACCGTCGACGTGTCGCATGTGACACCAGACAGTCTCGAAGAAGCGTTGGTCTCCTTTCGAGGTTGTATAATGCAGCGTCCACCAGTTTACTCTGCGCTCAGGAGGAAAGGAAAACGACTGTACGAGCTGGCCCGTCAGGGAGAGGATGTGGAAACTGAACCACGGGCTGTGCAGGTTGATCGTCTCGACCTCATTCATGCAGAAGACGAAACAGGACATAAGTTGGAGTGGCCATACTTTGGCCTGGCGATTGAGTGTCAAGGGGGAACGTACGTGCGATCCTTAATATCCGACGTAGCTCGGTCCGTTAACGCGCGGGCTCATATGACCGCCCTTACTCGCACGAAGCACGGACCTTTTTCTCTGGATGACTGCCTACCTGAGGAGGTATGGAAAAACGACGCTGAAGCTGTTGTCCAGCATCTTATTAACCTAAGAGATGACATGTATGCAGCTTCAAGTGATTGCCCGCAATAGATCGATAAAGAACACGCAACTTCACAATTTGCGGACGACGTCTAAGGACATTGACAGGAAAGGGTGTTCGACACATCTTCCGCCTTTTCTTTGTTAGATTTGATTATCTTTGTTGCTTCAAATGAGCAATTTTCCTTCATTCCACGTGTTTTGTTGTTGTTGTATTCTTTGTTACAATAAATCATTTAATCTCTTCAAATGAGCATTTTTCCTTCATCCAATGGACGACAACGTTCAAAATCCTATCTCTTCGCTTGCTTTCCGATCTGACCTCGTGTCATATCCGTCCACAAAGCTCCGATAGGGAAACAGTGACTTGTGCCCGTCTGTCCATGTGATTCCAATCGCATAATTGCCCACGGCACCGATTTCGACAGGTTTGATATCCTCTGCAATTGTCTCAGGTTGTAACAGTTGTCGACCAGTCATTTCTTCTACGCACATTGCGCACCTACACTGGCGCCTCAGGGCAGCTGGTGCTATTTTTTGCGGGGGGGATATATCGCTTTCCATACGTCCATCATCTGTGAGGCCTGCGGCACCATGCAGTGTCACTGCAATCACATGCTCCACAGGAAGATAGGTCACAGATGGGCGGAGGCGGGAGCGATCGTAGCGGAGCTTTGCAACTTCGCGAACTACACGCCCGGCCAAGTCCATGAAGATCTGGGCGGACGATGAGTCAGGTTCACTTACAACCAGAGGAGTGCCCGAATCCCCAGATTTACTCACTTCCTCAAGCACTGGTAGGGAAACCGTGTTATCCAAGCCCCACATGTCTGCCAGCCGCTGCCTATGGCCCTGTCCGAACAAGGGTCTTGCGATCCTGTCTTCCCGCAGCCGTCGTTGTACCACGGTTATGAGATCGTCCACTACGGCACCTTTACCGGTCCTAATTCCATTCTCATCCTCTAGGACGTCCTCTATATCTTGTCGCAGGCGTTGCCACGCCCCCGCAACGCCCCCGTTTCTGTTCATATCTTCGCGACTATCGACGTAATCAAGAGCTGATACATCTGCATATGCCATGTTCTCGACCACTGCGACACATGGCACATTAACTGTATCAAACATATCCACCCCTTTGACCACGTCCGTGAAACTCAGCCGCTGCGGGGTAGTGACGATGACGGCGGCCGTTATATTCAGAGATTGACAGAGGGTGAGAGGGATGTCTCCAGTACCTGGTGGCATGTCTATGACCAGGTAATCAAGCTCACCCCAGCTGGTAAGCGTCAGCAGCTGATTTATAAGCTGGATCACCATAGGGCCGCGCATGACAGCGGCTGCGCCGGGATTTACGTATCCGAAACTCATAAGTTTCACCCCTTTCGGTTGTCCCTCAGCATCCAATCCGGTCTGTCGGACCATCGGTCGAATCTGACTTTCCACAAATTCCACCATCTCTGTATCGGGTGCTACCATTGTAGGGAGACTTGGACCATAGATGTCAGCGTCCAAAATGCCGACCTTGGCGCCCTGCCGGTCCAACGCAAATGCAAGATTGACAGCGGTGGTAGATTTTCCCACACCTCCTTTGCAACTGGAAACAGCTATCACATTATTCACCAGTGACAAACCAGTGGCCTTCATATCTCCCCCAGCGCTTTTTTCCGCTGTGATTGGCCGTGCGGACAGAATAACATCAGCTTTCGTAACCCAAGGAAGTGTTTCGACAACTTGCATAGCCTGTGCCTTGAGGTCATCTTTTACAGGGCATGCGGGAGTTGTGAGTTCTAGAACAAAACTGACTCTGCCAGTCGCTCCGTCAATAGTCAGGTTCTTGATAAAGCCTAGAGTGACGACATCAGAGCCCAAATCAGGATCCATGACTTGCCGGAGCTGAGTGACTACTTGTGCGATATTCTTCTCACTGCTTGACGTAATCACAGATGACGTTTCGGCCAAGTTTCGGTCAGCGGACACAATTGGAAGTTTCTCATGGAATGGAGTGCTGGCAATGAAAAGTTGACTCACGGACGGTGCGTATCGATACAGAGGAGTGCTGGTTGGTTTGTTGCTCGACGACGACGTCCCAAAAATTGACACGTGATGCTTTTGTATAAAGCCACTGGTTGAAAGATATTTCCCGAGAAAAATAATGGAAAATAAGGCTCTGAAATGGCCATAATGGCGGTATGTCATAACAAAAAGCACCCTCCACGGCCCAACGAGGCTCCTGTTTTACGTGAAAGTGCCCCTGTGTGAAGGAAGCGCAATGAGGTTTCTGTGAACAAAGCTTATCAAAGGCCAGTCTCGTACAGTTTCATCTTGACGCTCGCACATGGTGAAATTGAGTAAGGAAGAGCAGTAGTCAGGAGGAAGGGGCCGGCAAGGCAGTGTGGCAGCGCAGGGTGGATATTATCTTCCTCCGAGTCGCCGCCTCCGCCCGAGGCGAGCTCTCTGCGATCCCACCTCAGACAGGGCACTATTTTCTAAAGAGCACGCGGCTATTACTCTTTCTTCATCATCGCATCAGGTTTATTTTCGCAGAAGCATTTATCGCTTGCATTCTCTACGAATAACATCTTGTCGATAAACAAATCGTCTTTTAATACCAAGATCGATGCGCCTTTTCCACGCTCCCGGTGATGGACCACTCGCATTTTAGCTCTACATAGTTCTGAGAGGCAATTGAAAGATTGTTTGGCCCCAAATGTGGTGTTCAAGATTTCGTGGTCATTTTTACGGTTTATTGGTCCTCATCTCAATCGCACTTTTCAGCATGGACTCGAAGGCCATGATATCCGAAGTCGCCACGTCAACGATGAGATGGAATGGTTGCGTGGCGTTCGTAACTGCGCCACTTAACAAAAATCCCCTTTCGCTTCATTTAAGCCCTATCGACTGGCGTTTAGAAACGAATTTTATTTGTTCGATCCGCAGAACCCGTCAACAGGTGGCATGCTTTGCATCCAGGGCGAGCAAAAAGCGTCGGACTAGCGGTCGCATAAGAAAAGAGTCCGCCGATAACGAGAGGAATGACGAGGGTGGGATACACAGGGATCAACAGGATGCTCCTCGTGTGAGCTCTCAGATTAACATTCCTGTCCGGAGACAAATTGCATTTGTAAAGCAAATGAAAAAAATTGTGAAAGAGGAGGAGCGACCAAATACCGCTGTGACGAAGAAGGCGCGCAAAAAGAAGGTCTTGGGCCAACGCGAGGCAATTGCCAGTGATTACGCATCTTTTAAACCGTCTGTGTGCACCACTTATCTTCTCGTAGATGGTTACAACGTCATCAAGTAAGTTTCTCTGTAAGGCTACGCTGGTCGTCTTCGTTTCAGTTTCGACCTAATCAAAGCGCTTGTGCATTAAAATGTGCTGACATAATGAAGTGATGGTCCTTCACATTGCTGAGGATATGAAGGGCTTGTGCTGAGTGTTCTGACCGGCTGCTCTCCCTCTGACGTGACACTCTGTAATTCTCTTTCTCCATTGGATCCCCTGGCCAGCAACTGGACCAAGATGATCAAGGCTCGGAGTGTAGCAGGAATGCCGAGTGCAAGGCAAGCCCTTTTGGAGCAGTTGCGCTACATACATCATTCCCGCCGATGGAAGGTGGTTGTGGCGTACGACGAGCACACACCTGGCTCGGAGCTTCGTATCATGGAGGGCGATGTTGACGAGGTTTTTACAGGGGAGCGTGAGTCAGCCGACTCTTACATAGAGCGGAGGGCAGTAGAGCTGTGTAAGTCTGGAGACGTTCTTCGTGTGAAAGTCGCTACGGACGATCGTACCATTCAGGTTGTATCCATGGCGTCGGGAGCGGAGACGATGAGTACGAGTAGTCTCATCCGCGAGATATACCTGGCACGCAGGGAGCTTCTTTTCCAACGAGATGGAACAGATTGGCGAACAACGAAGTCCTTTGATGATGCCCAGGAATACTTTGTAGACTAGTCGGGAAGAGAGGGAAGCTGGCCTTACAAAGGCTTGTGAAAGTTATGTTCTACTTCAGACGTGTCCACCGGCAGCCGAAGGCTCGATTATCTAGGAAGGACTGGGAGCCGAGACGATTCGCTTCTTATGTAGTCCTTTCGCACATTATAAATCTTGTGGCCTCGATCCTCTGCCAAGCCGAGGAAGTCAGAGATCGGATAAGAGTTGTATTTCCTCTGAACTGGCATGGCCAGGCGAAAGAAGGCGGGAAGGAAAGTGTGCTACGCAAATAGGCCATATACTATTGCTGTGTGAAGGCCGCATGTACTAACCAATGTGACATAGTGTGATTGTGTTCTTGAGAAGAAGCGACGAAAGCAGAACGGATTTACTGAAAAGCCACTAAGGGCACTTGTCCTCACCTAAAGAAGCGTACTCTATTTCTTTGCCTCGGATCATATTGGAGGATAACGAGAGAAAGAGGCAATAAATCCGCCAAGCGAAGCGAGACCGGACGTCTGAGGGACAATGGACGAAAAACTTGTTCATGCATGCGCCTCCGGTCTCTCGTACGTCAAAGTTATGTATCAATAGAATGTTATGCTGGCACCTTCATCACCTACAACATGACACGGAACAAAGGACCACAACGTTCGATTGAGCTACTTTCCAAACCCGCGGACGAGAAAGAAAACGTGTGAAGGCCTTCATACCATATGTATATGTTTACATGATGTATATGGAGATACAACAGGATCTCCGAGCTGAGGCATGCTTTATCCTGTACCATCCAAAGTCTTCCCATAGTATGTATAGCTTTAAAATGATGCAAAACCAGATGCTTTGAATGGGATGAAGGGAGGAAAAAGGAAATGGTGAAACACATAAATGAAAAACAAAGGGTGAAAAACTAACGTGAAGAAAAACGACAAAGAGAGGAAGCAAATGAGGCAATGCCAGAGGGCCCGCGGCGGACTGATGAGCGCGGGCGAATTTCTGAACGGCAAACAAATTCTTGCACGCTATTTAAAAAATGGAGAGGGAAGGCGAGCACAAAAATCAGCACTTCTTTGTCTCATCGTTCTATTCTTGTTCGTGTGACGCGATTTCGCGGAATCGCGGCTGAGAGCCCGGAGATGCATCATACCCTCCTTACTTGTTGTCAAAACTATCTTGCCGTTGTACGTGCTCAAACTCCTACACATTTTACTCCTCGCACAGTAAAGTAGTTCAGAGCTCGGAGAGCGACGCGCCCCATGGCTGCGCTGGTGCTTCAGACTCTAGCCCTTGCAACTTTTCTGATGCCCCTTGAGGCCTTCCTCTGCGACTATTTTCCCTCGCCGTTGCGGAGCCAGCCGCGGCGTCAACAAGACTACCAGGACGCTTGGCACGAGCGCAACATTCAACAGAGACATGTATTCTCAAGCCTTGGACAGGAATCGACGGCCTCACGGCAAGACACTGTGAAGGAGCGGCTAGCACAGGAGTGGGAATTGGACTGCTATTCTCGGCCCGTGGTCGGAGAAGACGGTAAAAAACTCTGGGAGCTGATGGTATGCGACTCACTAGGGGAGTTTCGCGCTGTAGAAACTATGCCTAGCAACATGGTCAATAGTAGGGAACTTCGTAAGCTCGTTGAAAAGGTAATTGAAGATGCCCCCGTTAAACCTCGGGTGATACGCTTTTTCCGCAATGCCATGTTCAACATGGTCAGCCTTGCTCTCAAGGATCTTAAGGTCCGCGTTGTCCCCAGTCGCTCCACAAACGCATTGTATAGCTGGATAGATGAGCGAGAGCGGGAAGTTTATGCCAAGTTGCCTGGCTACGACCCCCAGATGCGAGACTCTAACGATGTCTTCGGTCTGCGGGAGCCTGAGGTCATGCCCGACGGTCTTATGGGTGATAAGTACGCTTTTATGTGCCTGCCGGTTTCTCAGTTTTTGGACGGAGAAGTCAATTACGAGAACAGTGGTATCGGAAGGCTTTTCCAGCTCGACGCCTCCCTGCCTCGGGATGAGCAAGTGCAAGGCCTCGTTATCTACAGCTCGCGCGCCAAATCCATCGCTGCCTGGCTACACAGCATGGAGCTCTGTTTTATCAAAGCCAACTTTAGTAAGCGCATCATGGTTTTAGAGGTAGGGATTGACACACAGTACCTCATGGCCACACTTAACGACATCCGCCGCGTGGAGGCGCAGATCTTCGAGCAGGGCAAGGAGAAGCTGGGAGGGGTCCATTTCCTGGCTTTGCAGACGGACGAGGAGAGTGACGGTGTCGAAGGGTTCTTCTTGTTGCGCGAGCGGAAGCGATGATTGCGACAAAGTGGAGGTCATGAACTGAACCGTCGAAGCAGGAAAGAGGAAAACGCTATTCGAGGATATGCGAGTACATTACAGGCCCCTGCGTCTTGCGTTAACGCATCGAGTACGATAAAAATAAGAACAGAAAAAAATGCTCACTGCAGCACAATTTCAACCCGTCTGTTTATTTACTTTTCTTTGTGTCTTCTACCACGATCGACGAATAGGCTATAGCCATCACAAGGGTCGATGTTGCTGTTGTATTGAGTCCAGAGGTGAAAGATGAATAAGCACTTTCTTTTCACAAATGGAGAAATCAAAGATAGAAGAGGCACAGGATTTTGACTTACTCGCTATGATAAACGGCGTCATGGCTGAGCGCATGTCTACAGTTCTGTACATTTCAACTTCTAAGAAAAAGAAGACGATGGCAATGACGAAAGAAGCCATGGTTGTGCGGTACAAAGGCCCAGACTCAATATTCAATGCGCACATAAGGGTCACGACAGACGAAAGAAGTGTCCAAGTTCCAAATGTTCGCGCTGTAAGCGGGGTGACCTGACTCAAAGCCCGGCCAAAAACGCTCTCGCCCAGGGTCGCAGGATAGAAATAGCCCAAGATTACGGACAAGACCCGCAGAAAGGCGACGCTGATGAGCCAGATACGGAGAAGAGTCTTCATCCTGGTCTTGTTGGGTTTTAAAGTCGTACAGATCTGTGCAAGAATGGGCAGAGCCGACTTCACTCAGTTTCCTTCTTGGATGGTTATGTGTGTCGTGATGATCTCTAACTCGAAGTCCAGAAGCTTGTAATCTTCAGTCGCGTACGCCGCGGGAATCGACGCCGTGTCATCCCGAGTCCGCCGCTAGTCTAAGCGAGCATGTAGGCAAAGGCGGACATTTTATGATTCTATTCCATGAGTCGCCTTCAACGACTTTCTCTTCGCTCCACTTGCTTTGCTCGCCTTTCTCTGTCAGAGCGATGATACTCGCGTTCCATCACGGAAATGACGGAGTGGTCATGGCCTTCATCCATCAAAGTTCTTTTAATTGAGGCCCGCACAATCGCGAGGTACAGCACGGCAATGTGTATGGGCATTGGCTCGTCTGTCGGGTTAGGATTATGATACATTGCATACTTTGCGACATGTGTTTCACGGCAATGGCGGAGCATGCCTTGCTCCCGCCCCCGCCCCTTTTTGCCCCGCAAGGGGCGGTCAGGCCCATGGCCCATACGACATACTTGGCTCACTTCCACTGACTTTACATAAAGCATTTTTTATGCTGACATTTGTCCACTTGTCGCTGTACCTTACCCGCAGAAGCATCTGCTGTCGATACCACTCTTGTCAACAAACCATGCCAACTAACCTTGCCAACAAACCATATTGTAACATCCAGGGGGCAGGGCATCATGTACAATCCAAGCGCCCGTCTAGCAGAGCTCCTATCTTTGTACCTCAGTGATTTCTTTGAAAAACCTGACAGTAATCACTTAAAGGTAAAATGGCTCGTTACTCAGACGTAATCAATGCGATTTTGGAGGCGCGACATTTGTTTTGTCCATCCTGGTATTAACTTTGGCCAATCCACCATTGCTAAAATCCATCTTTGCCAATTCATTTACATCCTGCAGCTAAGTCTTTGGCAAGGAGACCTTACCTTGCAGAACCTACGCCTTCGCAAAGATTCTTTTATTAACGTGTGGCCCGATGCTTTCCTTTTAATAGACGAAGGTATTATTGGAGAAATTCAACTCAAGGTATAGGATCTTCGACACGCAGAGGCGATCGTGTCAAATGGGCAGATCTAAACGTGAAAAAATTAACCCCTAACTTACAATTTTTAAAACCATACTCTGGTGTACTGGCTCATAAAAGGTCCCTTGGAGAAGTCTCACGACGGGAAGGGCATCTCTCATCATTCGTGATGTAAAAATATCCCTTTGTCCTCGAGCCATCAACGGACCTCCGACCCCCGAGGAAATGCAAGCCATGGAGGCCGCTGCTCAGCTTGCCAAACAAAGAATCATCGAGCAAGCTGAAGAAGAGTTCTGCGAGAAAGGTATCTAGATAATGGAGAGCTGTAAAGCTAGGGATTGGAATCGCACTAATTTATATAGTATTCCTTTATCTCCCACTTTAATAAAGGCAACATAAATATGTCTCCGCAATGGTGGGCCTCGTCACTGTATAAATTTCTAGTCTCCTCAGTGCTACTAAAACTACTGCAGAATTTACAGGTCGATGTGAGAAATGTAGACGTGATGGTGCATGATGAGGCAAACCATCTCAGGTCGCCGTCATCGTCACTATCATCGTCGTCATCCCTATCGTCGTACTGCGTCGATACCACTGCAACATTTTCCAACGAGATGGTACGAAAGGGGGCTAAGCTAGTCAAGTGTGAGGCTGATCAGGTGGAGCGTAAGTACAATGCAGTGGGCATCCACGTAAAGCATGTCAAAGTGGGAGTCGTCTCGGAGGTGCTGCATCGGCCTGCGCTAGGAAACGACCCCTCATCTTCAAGCTCTACGGGGTTTCTTCCTGCAAGTGAACAGCAGCACATTTGTAAAGGAATAACAATCGCCAGTATTGGCTTCTACGCCTACCAGCATTCTCTGACCTGTGCCCAAGCACTCAAAGAAGAAGAAGAAGCAAACTGCCCAACAGATTTCGCGAGACCCGTCCCATCTCCTGCCTCTAACCCGGTGTCGCAAACCGATTGGAAATCGATGGACATGAGCCAACAGGATCGTTCTCCACACGACAGTAGTCCCTTTTGGCTAGTCAAACCTTTTGACGTAGAATTCGGGTACCGTGCTTACTCGGATCACTCCAGGCATGACGTGCTTCAGGACCTTGACGTTGAAATAAAAGGAAAGGTTGAAACGCACTTCCAGCATCAGCATTACATGAGTCTCGCTGCGCTCCGGAGTAGTGTTGAAGCAGCGAGACTGCGTTTGCGATTTTGGTCGTTGAGGCCCAAAGCTAGTGTAAAAGAGAGTCCCTGCGCCTGGTGGCGTTATGCTAAGGAAGTGGTGATAGCAGAAACGCGTAGGCAAGAGCATTTGTCCTCGTCATTTCCGTGTCAGAACATACAAAAAAATATGTGTACTTTTGGACGACAACGTACTGGAGACAGTTTTGTAGAGGATGCGAATCATCGAGATCGGTACCTATCGTGCTACCGAAAGCTTTTGGAGGCCGCAAATGCGACTCAGGTCGCTGTTAGCAGTTATTTTGGGTGTAAATATAGTCCATCTTACATAGTTGATGCATTATCGGAATTAAGCTTGCTGGAGTCGGAGCTAACCATTGAAAAGGTATTGCTCTTTAGGGCGGATGGACGGGCTAAAGCCAAATTAGACGGATTTGCGGATGCGTCAGATAGGAGGGTATGGCAATGGTTACGTGGCTTCTTAGCTACGTCATCTTCCTCTTCAAGACACAATCGCACAGCCTTCGGTGAATACACAAAGTGTAATTCAAGTAACACTTGTACAAGTACAATTACGCGGTCTTCCTTGTACACGAAAGTGCACATACAGCACCTGAACCTGAAACTTGATTCCCCAAAGATAGAAAACAAGCATATTTTACCGGCCTTCGAATTGAATATCGAAAGGATACAGGGAGACTTGTGGAAGACTTTTTCAAAAAAAGAGGCAGTTTCAATCATTTCAGTGGAGAGCGTTATAGGCAACGATACGCGGGGAAATAGGGCGTTGTCTCTCGGCACGGAATCGGATTTCCCAACCCGAAGTGCAAATGGACGGCCTGCCCTGCAATTGTACATCGGTCAGCGTCCAGGGATGCTACTTCACGAGACGCCCAAGTCAGCCGAAAAATATCACGCTAGTAAACCTACTTCGAAAACATTCCTGGAAAAACATCAGCTTCGTCGTCAACAGCTGACAGTTGAAGTGCTGACGAGTCCTGTATCGATAGATCTCACACCTATGTTGATGGAGGATTTGAATGACTTTATTCCTGGTGAAGATGTACCATTCCGCTCAAATTCTCATTTTGAAAGACTTCGCAATTTAGCCGCCTGTCGGCGACGTTACTCCATCCCAACCTACATGGATATTCTCACGCGTCAGCATGTAAGTCTTAATCTAATGCTCACTTTTGGCTCGATTAATACACGTCTCCGGGGCATGTCATTTGCGACTGGAGGGGACGAAGAAATGAGGATGCAGATAACGGGGTTGCTGTTCAGCCATGGGAAATTTGTAAATGCCTTAACGTATGCTAATCATGGCGTTCCAGGGGTGGAGAAACTCGTTCTAGGACACAATTTGGTGCAACCCTCTATAAGAATACAGGAGATATTACGAAGCCAGTCATCTATTTCTGAAGAATACTCTTTGATGTGTGTTCAATCGCTTAACCTAGACATTCCAACAAAAACGGATCGATCGGACGCAGTTGTTCAAAACCAGAACGTCGATTCTAAATGTCAACTGCTCGCGCAACCCTTCGTCTTTGAAGCCGTTGCTGCGACATGCATCCTGCCGGGCCGCCCCAATTATCCACGGCATCGTGCTTACGTGCATGTATCACCAATTGAAGTCCTCTTGTCGCCGCGTCGCCTCCAAACCTTGGATAGTGTACTGCGTTCTCTTCTGCAACTGCAGCGAAAATCGATCGAGCGTGGGTCGGATATTTCTGTAAGGCCGGTGAGAATGCCACCCCGCCTATTTTCAATGTCCGGAATATTGGACACTACTGCCGATGTATGGGTTCATTCTTTGGTAATATCGATTGACACAGATAGATCCTCGAACGATGACCAGCATAGTCCTTGTCATGATAGTCTACCTGCACGTGCAGGTCAATTGCTCGTGGATACCATCAAGACCTGGGTACACTTCTCAAACCCAAGCGAACCGTCGAGTGCTGCTTGGAAATTGGCATTGTCAAGAATGGTTATGGCGGGATTTTCAAAGAATTCAGGGGAGATGGCCCTAGAATTGGTAAAAAAGATATTCCTTTCTAAAGAGTTTTCGGACCTGGAACATAGAATACATGAACACGTTGGTGAGTGTAGCAGCGCGGAAGACTTTCTCGATTCCTTCGCTGAAGACGTAAGCAAGCGCCTCGCAAATATATTGGTACCACAAACTCGCTTCGTAGATCGACAATGTCCTCTATTGCGCATCGTGGCCGAAGGTCTGGACTTTTCTTGTGTAAAGCTAACCTACGATTTGCGTCTGTCCGTAGAACTTCAAAGATGCTTCGTGGAGAACGAGGGAAAGTGTGAAATTTTCAAATTTGCTGCTGAGCCAGACCTGACATCAATCCGATCGAAGTATCAACCAGCATATCTGCGGACACGAGCGCCCAATTTTTGTGCCGGTATGACTCAATCTTTCACGAGGCCAGTGGAAAAACAAAGACAGGAGCACACGAAGGAACGATACCAGGACTCTCTTAATGCAGCACAATCTTCTGCTGGGAATTGCAATGCTGTAAAAGTGACATTTATCAAGCAGGGCCATGAAAGTGGATGGGGTCAGGGCGAATCATCCTTGACTGCGTTACGAAAGGTCGAATTAGGTCTGATCTCGACGGCAGATAGCGGGCAAGATTATCTGCTTAACATCAGTTTTGGAAACGCAGTCATTCTGTTGGATTTAGGCCAGATAGCTTTAGAACTTGACAGGTTTCACGCACTATTTACCGCTCAAGGTCTGCTTTCAATGTCAAAACATCGCCCTGCTTATGAAAACAATGACATGCTTGGGCACTCATACCAAAAGACAGACCCACTTCTTCCAGTGAGGCAAGTCTTAAACATGCGCATTGATTCGGCGAGCGTTGTCTTTATAAATGAAGGTAAGACACAATTCCACATTGTTCTGGACCAAGTGAAAAGCGACTTTGTATACAGGAAACAAGAAGGCGATGAATCGCATGGACTTCAGCTATCAAGATGTTCATTTAGCTGCCAAGATATTTTAGTCGAGGATCTGGCGCCTTCAGGAGAGGACTATCCTGTTGTTATTAGTAGACTGACAGACAAAACAGGTGATCATACTTCCATGAAGCCTCATCTCCCAGTCTTTTGTGTTCAATACGAGCAAGACGGCGTGTCTCCAGTGCTCCATGTACATATGAATGATGTACGACTGTGCTTTACACTCCGCTTTCTCAAGTTGTACATCAATATACAAAAGAATGGGATATTACCGATTATCCAGAGGGCATCAAGAGTTTTTGAAACGACGGAAAGCCGCCCATCTTCAAAATCTTCATTTCATGTATCGTCGGCGACGACGGCAGATCGACCAAAATGGACATGTCAAGCACATAATCTGGTCATAATCCTCCCAAGGAATTCAGATGAGATTGATCTGGGCGCATTAAAAGTACGTTCTCTACATGTAAGCAGCTATCAAAGCGGAACGACGTGGCAATTACCGGGAGGTGCGGATGCAGCGTATGAAATTGATGCGGTGACCAAGGTGTCCAGGGCTTGTCCGAATTCTCAGGTCCCGGAGGGTGAGTCCTTCCACTCGCGCAGTGCTAGATTGGACGTGAAGGAGATGACAGCGATAGGAGAAGAAGATGAAGACGTATACTTTGACGCAGAGGATCATAATATAGGCAGGCCTGCATGGACGCCATTTCACAGCGCAACAGCTTTCAATTCCTCTCATCGTAACAATTATGCCGTTGCCTCAATACTTACGAAGGGAGATCCTTGTCTGAGATTTCAAATTTCTGCCCGGGATGTCCAAGTATTTGCAGCTGTAGTAAACAACCAAACCAAAGGGGAGAAATTCACTCAAACACGTGTCTGGGCTGCCGTGAATCATCAGGAGTCTGTTTACAAGATCGTGGATCCGGAGGATAGGACTTTCACTTGTACTGAGGGCATGTTGCATTGGGAGGAATTGACAAAAGATACAACAGCTTTTGACTTATACTGGGATTCCCTCGATGACATGCGTTCGCGTTACCTTCTAGTATTCCTGCCGCCAACAAAGGTGCAATCCTCTGCTGCATTGGACCTGCAGATAACTATGGCGCAGTTGTACTTGTTGTACAGTATATGGTACGACAATTTGTCCGAAGAAGCCCGATATTACTCGCAGGATGACATTTTTGCTCAAGAAATTCATGAGCTGGCAACCGCTGTCTCGTTTCCCGATTTGTGGCCTGCTTATGACACCCTGGATTTTTTTGAGCGTCTGAGCGACCCGGTATCTCGGTGGGATTTCGGTCTCGTCGTGCCCTCGATATCATTATCTCTCCGCTTTGATTGTGAATCTTTGTTGGAGCGCCCGCCGTCATTTTTCATGGCTGACAATGGGCTCCGATCCCAACTACTGGATGTAGTCCAACTCCAACTAGAGAATGCAATTCTTAAGGTTTCGGGAGGAGAGGGCGCAGTCAAACTTGCATTCGGCGCCGAATACATGCAGGCTGTAGATCTTCGCTCCCCCCAGCGCACTCGGCAGCCGCATTTTTTCCGCTGCGGGTCTGCGACCCCCGCACAGCCATCGATCTGTGCGCCGTACAAGCCGGTTTACTTAGACCAAACTTTTGGGTTCACCACCGATCTCGAAGGAGTGCAACCAACACTACCCCTCCAGATGACTCTTTCTCTGACTCCAGATGATTGGATGTGCATAAATATTGGAATAAAGCATGCGGAAGCGCTGCACAAGGATATGAGCCTGGTGTGGCTGGTCGTCGATATTTTTTCGTACTATTTTCGCTTTCCAATATATGGGAAACCTGACTTAATAGCAGCTGCCCCAAAAACGACTACATATGGTATGAACATCGGTGAAATCCCTCGAATACGGACAGCGCGATCTCAGAGTGCTCAAATTTCCGGGGGGACAGATGTACGAGTGTGGGCAGTAAAGCCCTGCATTTCAGCTCCGGAAGATCCACTTGCCCGAGACACTGCAACCCTCGTACTACATTGCGGAGCTGAATGTTTCTACCGATACAAGGGAAACTCGGAGGGCTCCTATCTCACACGTATTCGAGGTAATGCCTTGTCACTGGGCTTAAGTGCTGGCTTCGATGCGGCAGCGTCCATACGACGGCTTTTGTCAGAGGGGCAATGGGGCCCAAATGACACTGAGTCGCGTATTTTAGTGAGAGACCTTTCAGTTGATTTACTATACAGCTATGATCAAGATATGAACCACGTGGAAGCGCAGGCCTCTTTACCCGCTTGTGGGAAGAGGCAGACTGCAACAAGCCATCAAAGACGCCCTCAAGATCCTTTTATGCAGCCTGAGCCATCTGCTGTTTCTCCACTGGAAAAAATTTCTCGCGGCTATGCACTTCCCTGTTTTTCTTTGACGTCATCCCGGCAGCCCCCTTGCAACTTCATGGGAAGTTATGGGGACATCGCATTTATCCACGGCACTGTTACTAATTTTATTGGTCCGACTGTCGAGGCCCTGGCAAACCTGCAGCATATGGTGCATGGCTTTTACATGGACGCACAACACCGAGATCGCTCTAAAGAGGGGCGAAAGAAATTGCGATCTGCATTTTTGAGACACTTTAAAGATGCTGGTCAAGACCACGGCACCTCTTTCCCTGTAGACAGCGTCAGTCAATCCGCTAAAGCCCCACATTCTGAAATTACCATTCCGACAATATCAGAAAGCACATTAGACATCGGCGGGTTGCATGACGATCAGCCAACTTGTCAAGTGACCGTGGAAGTGGCTGGTCTTAAAGTGCTTTTACTGGATCCAGTCCTCGGCCTCCATTTTCCTTTTGTGAAACTGGTGCTGGGTGAGCTCAACGCTATGATTTATCACGGTCCCAACTCCGATAATTCATCAATATCTATCTCTTCAGCCGTCTTAAGTGCCTGTAAGATGGACGATGAAGACTGTCAAGGTCCTGAAAAGGAAATCGATCAAACTTCAAGCCTACTATCAAAAGCAGCTCTCGGCTGTAGTCCGAGGCAACCGTCGTCGTGGTCTTTGAACGTAAGTCTCCATGCACGGCTTTGGAGCGACTATTTCAACATCAAGCTCAAGTGCTGGGAACCTCTTCTGGAGCCGTACGCGTTTAGAGCGCTGTACGAAGATGCTAACGATCGTGGCAAAGGCCTAACACTTCGTTCTTACTGTCCCTTACACGTAATTGTCTCAAGTGCGCTTCTTCAAACTCTTGGGCACACATTACGTGCCGCTGAACAGATTGATGTGGATATCATGAAATTTGAGGAGCTATACCTATCACTATTTACTACAGCCAACGATGCTCAGCTTCACGCTTCAATATTCGGCGATAGCCCCACAGAAAAACGTTTTGATGACGCTATGCCAGAGTCTATTCGAGATTCATCCCATCCTACCAGCCTGAAACATGCTCAGATGGATGCTCTACCATCGATGCCTTCTTCAACGTCCGATAAGGGTTACCTTCATTTCAAGCATGAGACTCCCCCTGTTCTATCACCTGGAGTACGAACACCCTTTTCAATATGCAACTTAACGGGTGAAGTCTTGCGGTGCTTCCAGCCCCATGCTGTCTACAATAATACCAATGCATCTTTGCAATATCTGGAGCATGGAGTGATTTGTCCCTTACCATTTGGAGCGACCATGACAGCTTTACAAAATTTAAAGCCTGTTGAGGTACCATTTGACATCGACAGCGATCTATTTCTTCCTGACGATGAGCGGGGGAAACACGCGACCAGAAACAGTGAGTGCGGAAAAAATCGAAGACTAACTCTTCCCACAATATTGAACAAAAGTTGGATAATTTGTGTACAGCCGAAGGATTATCGATGGCTCTCATGTGTCTCAGCGGACGCGCTCGGGCTCCAATTTCAAAGCTTATGGCCACTACACGGACTTCCACATGCAGAGCGCCTTCTAGAAGATTGGAAGATCCGTAATGCTTTCAAGCTTGTAAGCGAAGTGCGTGTTGTAAACGGGTGTCGACAATTGACCCTTCGATCTGTGTTCCGGGTCAAAAACTGTACAAAGCACAAAATTGAAATGGCGGTCCATCCGAGTTCTGATTTTCGACCTAATTGCGAGGGCACTGTAAGAATAGCCGCAGAGGACGAAGGGGTGGATCGAGCAGGATCCTCGCTGACAAACTTAGCCCCTGGTGAAATGTACAACGTGCCACTCAGTCTTTTGCGACTTGCAATAGATTCTGCCGCGGGATCGGGATTTCTGCCAAGTTTAGGAAGGCTGTGGATCAGACCGCAAAAATGGAGAGCTTCGATGGTAGCAAGAGCTCCTGCAAGACATCCTCAATCTTATGCAGAAGTCCAATTTAGCACAGAACCAGTGGATCTTAAGATGCTGGTGGATGAATCGGCGCGGCTATTTACGACATGGGCTAAAACTCAAGGAGATCATGAACCAGTTGGAGAGAAATCTCCTGTTTCATTGACTAATAACGTCTTGCAGCGACATACCAAACACCTTCTATGCCCCGTACTACATGACGTCGGTCAAGCTAGTCAGGTTCCTTCGTACTTTTCTACTCCATCACATGACACCAGTACCGCATCTTCTGTTAGTTATTGTGTGGAGATAATCCGGACTAAATTTAAGAAGAATGATGTTGATGGTTGCGCTGATGATAATCCGAATACCATGAAAGATGGTTTGCAAAGGGGAGCAGGAAGTGGAACTCACTGGGATAGTAAGAATGTGGAGCCAATTCACGGACCTTTAGACTACATGATCGTCATTCATCCGCCCCTCGTCCTGGAAAACTTATTGCCTGAGGCTTGCGTCTTCAGGCTTTATGATTTTACGAGTAAAGCCATGCTTTGGAAGGCGCATCTGCAAGCCGGTCAATCAATGCCTATCCATGACGTCCGAGTCGACTGTTCAGTGCTTCTCGACGTCCAAACTGAGGACTGTCGCAGCACTGAAAGTGTTCTTATTCATAAAGGCGGTGGAGCACTACGAGGCATGGAGGCTATAGACCATGACGTGGCGAAGTTTATAACCATGGTGGACGCTGAAAATCAGAAACTGCTTCTCCAACTGGAGCATCAAGTTGGCGGTGCGGGACAACGGCGAACCATCTTGTACTGCCCATACTGGTTGGTGAACAATACAAATTGCCTGCTGACCTACATACAAGAGGGCAAGTCGAATACTCCCGCTGGGACGTTGAAAACAAGCACAACCATGATTACCGCATCTGCAGTGACTGCAGAAGGAAAGTCAGGGAAAGAGGGTGCAACGAAAGCCCCTTCCCCATGTCGCAATGCTGTCGACGAGAGCTACCGGCCATTGATGGGATTCCATGAGATTAATCCATCCTGGGGCGGAATTGGGCCAAAATCCGATCATTCCCCCGCTTGTATTTTAGAAAGGGATAAGAGGCGGCATAAGCAGTTCCCTGGTGAATTAGGACTGTCTAAATTTCACCACAAGGTGAAGGGTGGTTTTCAAACCAATACCTCTCGAATGTCTACGCATTTTACTGATTCATACGGGCTATTTGAGCTTTGCGAAGCTTCGTTTATGTTCAATTATTCCGAGGAAACCCCATTAAGCTTGGGACTACAGCGCTTAAAAATCAAGGTCAATGATTCTGCCTGGTCGAAAAGTTTTTCGCTGGATACAGTTGGAGTCAATCAAGTGATAACAGTACGGCACCCGCAATGGGGCGATATGGAAATCGGGTTCATAATAAATGTAGCCCCAGGCAGGCTCGGACAATTCACAAAAGTTGTATTCTTTTGTCCTCGGTATGTCGTCTGGAACAGACACCCACTCCCTCTATACCTTTCTCAGGACTCAACATACTTCCGCCTGGGTCACATATCTGATGAGATTGGCAGTCACTGCATCGCTCAGGCTCATCTACCTAGGAGCTCTGAGAAGCGTGTGACTGTCCAACTTCAGGGTGGCTATGATAAAAGTGCACCCTTCCTTATCGATGCTGGTGCAGACTTATGCCTAAGACTCACCAGGCTTACTGATTTATCGCGCGTAAGGCATCTTATGACTAGAAAGAATCCCGAATTCGATATTCAATTGCCCCCAGGGCAGGAGATCGGGCTTTGGCTAGAAACAGATTGGAATCACGAAATGCTAATTGTCAAGGCTCTGAAAAAGAATCGGTGGGCGGAGAAGACAGAAATTCATAAGGGTGACGTACTCTTGGCTATTGAGGGCCAGCCCATCACGGGTAAAGATTTTAAAAAAATTATCGCTGCTCTGAAAGGGCTCCTGACAACTACAGGTGCGACATTAAGGTTCCGAACTCAAGAGGAAAACTTGCGTCTTCTCCGTTTGCGAGCGCTGGGACAACTTATTTCAAGTTCACAGCAAATACATTGTACAAAACGATCTCAAATGGTACGTTAGGCCCCCTTACATGGATTGTGAATGGTGGTCTGGGGATCATGGGACTCATTGTCAAGGAACATTAATAACACTCATACAACCCGCAAATAGGATGGACCGGAATACATTACAGTCCAATTGAAACCAATCGGGCCGTGTGTATACGTTATAGTTGGCAAGCTAGATCCACAAGTAAGCCCGCCCTATCGCATTGTGAATAGGACGAAAAATTTCATGATTCATTATAGGCAAGCGGGTTGTGAGATGCACCCGTGGAATACTTTGGCTCCGCACGAATCAAGCATCTATACGTGGGAAGAACCGATGAAATCTCGTAAGCTTGATCTTCGCGTCGCTCCTAGGCAAGGAATGCTTGGTATGCGAGGGATGGATGCTCATCCAGCTGCAATACGGGAAAGGCAGTCAAGAATTTTTCGTCAAGGAGTTCCGAATATTTTGTTTGCCAAGATACCTGGCGTTCGAATTCGATTGGACGGAATTGGCCGCGCGCACCCCATCCCGCTCCACGAGCCCTATACAGACGATGGCCACTGTCTCACTGCTCGCATAGGAACGGAAGGGACGACTCGGGTCTTAAACGTATCAAAAGATGGATCGGCTGACGAACGAATGAGCCTAAAGAGGCGGCGAGAGGAGCTATCTAAACTACGGCAGGTGTACGTGCAGCACCGAGACATTTATAGTCAATTGATGGAGGAACTTGCAAACCTTGCAGAAGAGAAACGTGAAGTGATGCCGCGGGACCAAACGAAGAATTTCAATTTAGATGCTGTCGAAAATGCGATCGGAGGTCTCCAGGCCGAGATTCATGATGCTGATATACACGTACGAGGACGCCATCACCTGCTAGTGGAGGTCATAGAAGCAAAAGGTTTACAGGCAAAGGACATTTCAGGCCTGTCAGATCCCTTTGTTCAAGTCTATCTGAAAATTCAAGACAAATTGCTGAGAAGGGATCCTAGGTATCAGCAGCACTTTACCACATATGTGATTGAAAAGACTTTAAATCCCAAATGGCAAAACCAGTCATTCGTATTCAAGGTTCCGCCGAAGGCTGTTTCCAACCCAAAAGCATACTCAGTGCACGTCAAAGTGAAGGATTTTGACGGTCCTGTCAAAAAAAGTGATTTCCTGGGTAGAATAGATATGCAACTTGATCTCCTGGAAAATGAAATGGAGCTAGATGGTTGGTATTTTCTCACGCGAAAGTCACAATTATTCCAGCAACCTCTTCAAAGTTGCTTAGAAACGCCAGATTTGGGCGCTATCCACTTACGCATGCGATGGGTACATTCACTCGAGGGCCTAGTCCACAATTTGAAAGATTGGACTGAAGGCAAGCTGCAAGATTTAGAAGTGCAGCAGCAACATTTGGGTAAAGAGGAAATGGAGCAAGCAGGCGAGTCAAACCATCTAACACCAGAACCAGGATTAATGAATCACCAGAAAGAGAATTTGAAACTTAGGTACGAATGACGACCGATCAATGAATAAGACATGGATGTTAAGGCCCCCAGTATGGCTTTTTTGATGTGGACCTTAAAATATCTCGACCGTATTTGCAGTTGCAATAAGTAAAAGGGAGGCACTAATCTACTTCGATATAAAACAGGACCATTGAAACGCAGATTCGAGGAGCAACGGCCCTACGACAACGACAAAGAAGTGGAGCCGTAGAGTCGATAGGGGAGGCTTTTAGCCGTCAAGCCGACGATTCCTTACGACTGAGTCCAGCTGGGTTTCGGAAGAGTTGTCCACAAGAAACCCCTCTAGAATGGAAAAGCCCACAGGACCATCGCGACAAATCAATCTCGTTAAATTGCGACCACACGACGGGTTCTCCATCACTTGAAAGTACGAGGGACCGGATGGCTTTGATCCGCTTGCAAAGGCGAAAACGAATGTCGCACCCTGTGCAATATTGCAAAAAGGACGCGCAAAGACCAAATCCATACGACGGCCGAACCCAGACATGCTCTTACCGTTCTCTTTCTTCTCCAGAGTGCCTCGCGGTCTCAAATTTGGCCACCCTGAAGGATTCTGACACGAGATTCTTATCATTAGTGCGATCCGCCTCTAAGGAAAATCCACCGCAGACTCGTTCACTTGCGATCGATTATTTCCACGACCTCAAGCGGATTTCGCGACGGCTTCGGACACAATCAACACGGCATATTATGGCCATGCAACACTGCATGGCACGTCGAAGTTTCGAGCAGGAAGCAGCACGGTCGCATCGCTGTGTTAACAACCCTGGCGGTACTTTACACATTCGACCTTTCCAAGCTTTAAATTTGGGAGACAAAGCAAAACATTCCTATGTAACTGTCCGATACGGCCTCCATGTGGAACGTACGACTAAAGCCAAGCCAGGTGCATATCCACGCTGGGACGTTGCAAATGCGAAAAATGAGCTGACATTGGAGATAGAGCATCTGAATACAACTGGAACAATTCATGTCACCGTTTGGAGCGAGCAAGAATTGCAAGATGTAGAACTGGCTCATATTGATATGCCTTTGGGCTCACTTATTGATTGCTGTGATGACAATGGTAATTATGTGCGCTGGTTTCCGCTGCTGCATTCTGTATATACTCGTTCTGAACAGGGAAAGTTCCTCAAAATGCCGTGTCCATGGACTTCTGAAAAGGAATCCGTCGAAGATTTTATTTCGGAGCCCTGTCTCAAGCTGGGCTTCAGGTGGATTCCCTCTAGTGAAAACACTCACATCTTTAAAACCAACGGGTATCTTAGGGCATACTTGACTGAAATAGCAATATCAATGGTGGACTCGTATAAGTGTCTTGAGTTGATGTCTACGACAGTACGTAGTATCGAAGCACGCTACGTTGACAATCCAGCTTTGACCCGGGCAAGCATCGTAGTATCCCACGTGCAGTTCGACAATCAATTGCCCGACGCCGAGGCACCGGTCATCTTTGGTCCTACGCCAATGCAGATGCCACAACCTTTCCTGCAGTGCAGTCTTTTTCGGCAAAAGGACAGGAATGAAATTATGAGACCGGATCGTCTATGCCGGCTCAAGTACGTTTTCATTTTGTTTCAGGAAGTAGATTTGAAGGTTGAAGAAGCCTTCGTCCATGCCCTGTGGCAGTCCTTTTCGAGAGTACTAGTCGACCACTTGGTTACATCCTCCACGCTGTACGCCCAGCTTCGACAAGAACATGGCGCAGGACAACGAGAAGCCAGAGCAACGTCCGAAGAACAGGCACGACAAGCCGTAAATACCATGACCTATCACCAAATTTCAAAAGATAGCTCTCCATCCCCCAGACTACCGTCATCATTCCACTCATCTGGTTCAGAGGGAGAACAGACCAATACGGAGGGTGCACTCTTGGTCCCGCGCAGCCGAGCTTTATACATGCAACCTACGGAAAGTCCCTCTCAATATGAAGCCCAAAATCGATTTGTTACCACGCAGTCCTCCTTAAAAACATCTACAAAAGACGGTCCTGGTGTACGTTTATGTGGTAATGGTGAAGATGACTTAAATCTTGAGGGTGATTCACATCCTTATGTGACGCAGATGGTATACATTGAACGTTTAGAATTGTGTCCAATCAAGGTAAATGTCAGCTTCCACAAGAGCGCGGTTGACCGAAAGGTATGGCAGGTGGCAATTGGCAGCACCGACGTGGCGGCCGAAGCAGCACTACGCATGGGTGAAATGGACACATCGCACCTGATCGTGAATGGTCAATTGACTTCAGCGGCTGCTCGGCAGAATCCTCAAATGGCAATAATCTTCACAATTTTCCATTTATTGACAGACGTTATGATGCCACTCATTCCTAGCATTTCGAATGCTTCTATCAAATTGAATTCTCTGAATATTGCTCACGTGTTCCAAACTCCGACAGAGATCTGGGGAACATTGCAGGCACACTATACATCGAATTTTCTATTTCAGTTCTACAGGATTGTGGGAAGCATCGATATCATTGGGAACCCGCTGAGTTTTGCAAGTAGTTTGGGAACCGGGGTTATCGACTTTTTCTATGAGCCAGCGCAGGGGCTGGTCAAAAGTCCGCGAGCATTTGTGCGGGGCGTTGTCAAAGGCACGTCATCACTCGTGACGAATACGACGTCTGGATTTTTGGGCGTTGCGGGCAAAATTAGTAAAAGCATTGGGAGCGGGGTACTGTGCACAATCTCGAAGGACATGAGCTTTATGCGATCTCGAGAACATTTGGCCAGGGAGCGGAGCCATGCATATTTGCGACCAGCCAAAGATTTTATACACGGAATCTATCATGGCATATCAGGAATTGTCACCGACCCATATTACGGAGCGCGAAAAGGTATGTTCTATCGCAATGGAG